GCCTTTGAGCCCTCTCTGTGTTCAAATGCTTTCTCGGGCAACCTGGAGGTTAGGCCTTCTAAACTTCTGAGCGAGCACTGCATATTTTTTCATTTGAATCCCAACAGCAGAGTGCATTCGTTGGGATTTGTTAAAACAGTTTTTTTGTGTCATATCGAGGCCATGTTGGGGCTATAGATTGTCGGGGCTTTCATTTACTATTGATTTTTGTTTTTTCCCAAGCTATGACACAAACTAATTGTGGATATGATTCCGGAACCAGGCTGCAAGAGGAATTCATGGTTAACAAGATTTCCTTTGAAAGTAACCAGATATGCTACCTTAAGACCTTTACTACTCATGGGCCATCATCCTTTCACAGAGGAGATCGTTGGATGAGCTGATCAGCCACTCGCGCATTTTGCACAAGAATGTCAAACTGAACAACTTTGACCAGTCAGCATCTCAACGCGTGATCTTACCAAGACGTTTTTCCAGGCACTAAGGCCAACCACAACACATGGGTGATCGTGTTGTTTTTCTTAACGTTCTATTTGATCTGTCATGTGGTTGTGTGCACTATATCTTACCTAATTGAGGACTTGAAATCATACATTCACCAACAAGATTGTTTTCACTTACTTGCCATAAGGTGCCACAAGTGTGGCCAACAATGTCGTCGATTATTCAGCCCACCTGGTGATGATGATGGTGTGGTTACGGTGAAGTTGGCCGGTAGCCCATGTACTGCCAGAATCTCAGGTTTCTCTGAGTTTGGTTTAAAAACATTGAGTACTAGGTTGTGAATCATGTCAATGTCAAAGTCAAAGTTATCACTTTGGATGTTCTATCTGAGTTTGGTTTATGGATTGGGGGCGTGTAGGGGCCTGCAGTGCAACACAACGATCAAGGACTTTTCACTATTTGGTTCTGGACAAGGACTATCAGGTGCAACAGTGGTCTACCTGTTGGTGTTTGTGAAAGCGGTCTTGCAGTCACTGCCGCATTGCCTGGTACATGAGAATGTACTCGGCTTCCCAATAGATGTCCTGAAGAATCTTTTAAAAGGCTTCTTGCTTCATTTTGTTTTGGTGATTTGCTGTGTTGCTGTTGTGGCACATTGTTTGCTCCTGTTGGATGTTACCAAAATCAATGGTTTCCGTTTCGCCCAGATTACTACAACTGTACGTATTCCACTATCAGCCCAAATGAACATTGTGGAGTTCCTGTGGAGAGGGACAGGCGCTATGCAATCTTCACCCTGAAAGATTGCGTCAGGCACCGACTGTGGATTGTGGGAAGTAGTATGACCTCGAACATGGCATATTTCATTTGTATAGTGAGTCATCGGTCCTGATTGTTTCAACCTGTGTTAGGCAAACAGATTCTTTGGATGATGTTGTGAAGAAGCTTCAATTGAAGACGGGCAATGCGACATTGGATAGATTTCTATTCTATGGTCAGACTGTAAATACAAACATGAGCTGGCTGATGGAGCTTCTCAGTGATTCACAAAAAAAGAGTGCATTCCTTAGTTTGGTATCGAAATGAAGTGTAGTGATCACTCACAGCTAACGCTGTAGTTGTAGGAGGAACACATTACACATTTGCTGAGGACTTGAAAGCTACTTGCAGATGTATCCAGGCAGGCTTGTGTACGACACTATGCAGAATCCAGACCAGAGACCACGTATGTCACCACTCTACAGAGTGGCGCACTTCAGACACTTACCACTGGTGTTACATCACTTTGGTCAACAACCTATCAGCGAGTCATACGTGTTGAACTCAGGATTGCAAATGGTACTGTGTCAACTACAGCTCCAAACTTTTTATTGGGGCCAAACATCATATTTTTGGTGGCCTCGGGCACCATTGTATCTTGATACATTACCAAAAATGAGTGTCCCACAAAAAATGGTGATTCCAAAAGTCCTTTTGTGAAGGGGGCAAAAAAGGAATTTTGAGATACAGTTCTCACTGGGCTTCCTCCATTTCGATACAAATCCGAATCCAAATATATCTTTAGGTTTTTTGCATTTATCGCAATTAGGTTAAACAATTAAACATTATATAATTATATATATATTATGGCAATGTTATTTGGAGACATCCCCAGATATAATATACATATTCCTCAGCCAGTTTCTGGCGCTAAGATGGACAAGAGCTTCTTTATGCACACGGGCTGCCAGTGGAAGCACGGACTGCTCATCAAATGGGGGTGAGGGCCATGCAGCTGGGTGGATTGACGCACAACAATCTTTGCTGCTCAGTTCAAAACAAATCAGGTCAAGCAATTTCAGCAGTGTGTGCAGCGGTGCGCTGTCCAAAACTTCTGGGATATTTTGAAATTTTGAAAACAAATTCCAGTGGCATCTGTGCGCTGCATTGTTTTGGATCGTCTTGTATGGGGCATTGAGCAAAATGGTTTTGTATGTTTGATCATCCACGTCGAAGACTGCAAGATCCAAACTTAGGTAAGCTGGCTGGCAATTTGATGCACGTTGCATGTGTTGGACGGGCCTGTATTTACATCTTGTACTTTTGCGAGCTGAAGTGAATAGAACATCAGCCGCCCCATCCTAGCTGATTTATGCTGATTCTGGGGTAAGCTCAGTAGTCAGTAGGCAACATTCTCAGTTCAACACTTGAGACAAACATTGTGCGATTTCAATGCTTTGCGCATTTGTGTCAGTGTCAGCCATGTCAAATTGTACAGTGCCGATTGTACAGTGCACACTAGGTTATTCAATTAGCTGCCTTGCATTCCGCAGCCTTTTGGGTGTTGAGCCTGTTGTCTTAGGGTCGATCTTTCGGTGAGTTGTAATTTTCCATTCGACATCGCTATCAAGTAGCACCATGTCGGGTAGTGAACAGAATGGTGGTGGCGGTGGCGGTGACCAAGAAAGTCATCCTAAAGTGGATGTGAACAGAGAAGTTGAGTTTCTAGGCTACATTGATAGAACTGTGTTTCGACTTGCGAACTGAAACTTGGAAGTCAAATTCTGACCTTTGGAACATATTGCGTCAGCTTTTCACACAAGTTCATGAGGTGTGTGGATTGTGAGGACATAGTGCGGTTCAAGGACTCCATCAGGTGTGGTGGTGCAACGTGTTCCACAGTTCGCTGCAAACCATGTCACAATGCTCGGCGGGCTTTGAGGAAGTGGTATCAGAAAGCTGAGCGTACTGAGGAGTGGGAGAACTTGTCATCAGAAGATCGGAAGGAGATGGTGAAGAGAAACAAACACAAGGGTACCGGAAAGGGTTTCAAAAGACAAGTCCTTGTCAATGAAAGCGCTTCGTGTACGGATTCCTTATCACTCAAACAGGAGAAGCCGTTCATGACGAAAAAAAAGTTTCTGAGTCTTCAAACAGGGATGTTTTTTTTCATTTTGATATCGGGTATCCAACAAAAATACTTCTCTCTGTAACCCTCATGCTTTCCTGTGCCCACAGCCCAGCAGAACTTTTACAGTGGTATTGTAATGGTTTTCCAGGTTCATTGGAGAGCTCAAGTCACGTTATGACTGGGAAGAACAAGAATATGAAGATGAATGGACTGCAGCGAAGTCCAACCCTAGCGCTGTATGGGCAAAGGATGAGTATGGTGCTGATGTGGTTAGCTTGTTGCAAACTGCAGTAGCTGCAAATGGTAGGGAGTTATCGCACAAGAAGTCGGTCACTAGAGCATCGGAGGCAGAGGTGACAGAGGCAGAGAACATGGAAAATGTGTTCTCACGTTGCTCGATGGTTAATGTTTATGATGTTTATGCTTATCTGTTATCTTTTTCTATTTCGGGTTTAATGCTTGTCTTCACAGTGCTGGCTAAGATTTCACAGTGCATGGCTAAGATTTCACAGACTTTGTCGCCTGCTGAGGTGCTTTGGACAACAGCTCCCTGCATCACGAGACCAGAATGTTTGACCCTTCCCGTCAGGGCCTTGCCATCCCAATTCAAAGCAAACCCTAGATGTGCTGTCATCCAGTGTTGCAGCATCATCAGTATAGATATATATATATAAATATATCATATATCATTATATTGTAAGAACAATGACATAGAATATACAATATAACTATGCTGTTATACTTGATCAGTTTCGACTGTAGAAGCGACCAAGCTCATTTGGTGACCATTGCTGTTCCTGGGTTAATCATCAGCAGCGTATTTCCAATTCAGAACTCCGAATGCCTTTCATCCTGATAATCAAGTGCACGCTTCAGGTGTGAATCACTTCCAAACTGTGCCCGCTTTGCCGGGGGCGCAGCCATTGACCATTGCGGGGTGGCGCCAGCCAAAGAACAAGAAGGGAAAGGGTAGGGGTGGCAAAGTGAGTGGCAAAGGCAAGGGTAATGGAGATGAGAAGTCTCCACAGCGCAGCAAGCGCAACCGTGGTGATGACGAACTATTGCAGTTGGATCTGAAGCGCAAATCACACCTTCTGAGTCAGAATGTAGTCCCTAGACACCATTATATTGGGCAACTAAATGTTCTCCCTTTCTCCCATCTTCCAGCTGCATACATCCACACACACACACCATTGCAACACACCGGAATTCACAGTGATGTTTTGTTTTGTGGTGTGCAACTCGGCCTTGCCAAGAGATTTTGCACATCCATGTTCATTTTCTAAATCATCAAACATCTGTTTGTTAGGCAGAGCAGGCCCTCCAGTTGAAAGAGCAGGTGGTTGAGCAACTGGCTGTCACTGATGGATCGGAAGAGTTGACAGACCACCGGGCCCTTGTTGAGAGCAGACTCAACCAGGTTTTGGCACTTGCAAGCGATCCCGACGCATCACATTTGGTGCTTTCCCCTGGATGTAAGAAGGCCAAGAATGATTTCTTTTCCCCGGATGATGGTAAGCTTAGCGAGAACATCATCAAAACCTTTCAGAAGAAGTTCAAGGCTGCTGTTCAGCTGGTCAACAATGCCAGTGAGGGATTGAACGCCATTCACCAAGAGCTATGTACCTCCTTCTGTGATATATGACATACATTTATTTTTTCTATACCGTTTTTATTTGAGAAGGTGTCAGTTCATCAGATTTTTTTAGGCATTTTTTTATTACTACTCAGGTGCGCTTGAAGACGAAGAGATGGAAGAGGAGCCGGCGGAGGATGGTGCTGATTCAATTCCCGATTACCTGAAGCATTTGCCTGTGGAGCAGCACAAACTTTTGAAAGACATTGTCGAAATCATTTTGGCCAAACCCAAAATTGTAGAGTGTGGATGGGTGCAAGGTGCTGCACACATGGGATTGCCGCATGATCCTTCCAAGCCAACAACATGCTGCTACATTCTTCAAAATTTGGATGCTTCCAAAATTGAGCTTGGAGGCTTACCTAGGGATGAGATCTAAAGGAGATGGAAGGCAACCCTTCCAAGCTTGCCAAACAAAGACGTGATGTTACATTCCCGGACGGTGAAATGGATTCTCAGCTTCATCAGCAATTTGAAATCAATTACTTTTTATTTGTTCCATTTTGATTATTGTGCTGATCCCACGCTTATCCTGAGTTCAACTTATTCGACACCGACCCAATGAAAAAAACACTGAGTCAGTAAGTCAATTTCACAGCATGTTTTGTTGGAGCGGTGAATGTGAACCTGTGCCGTTGCAATTCCTAGGTCTTCAAGGATGAAACTATGCAAGGGCTGCAGTTTACTTTGGCAGGTTCTGATCTTCTCAAGGGCCAGATCGTCAACTTCAAGGGGCAGGGAGACATCGTAAAGACTCTTTCCTGTGATTTCTTAAGTAAGCGCATCGTGTTGCGAATTGCGTTCCTGAAGCTTGTGTGATTGACAATCGATATTTTAAAGCACCACCTCATCAGTGACCAGTGCTACACATATTGTTTTGCGATTGTTTTGCGCAACTTCAAGTTCTAACACCGGCACACATTGAGACATTTTGCTACTCAATAAGGACCTGTTCCATGAAGATGCTCTACACTAGGCCATCATGGTCTTTTGTGGGCTTGTCCGATTTCATGGCCCCTGTGGCTAAATTCCAGTTGGCAGGAGATAAAATCTTCATCGTGATCCCATTTCAGTCCCTATCGGCCAGCTTTGCTGCAACGGCATCAGGGGCTCCTTCTCTCACAGCTCTTTCCCATCATATGATGTCGCTGAGCTTGCAGGAGCTAGTAGGTGCCGGTGGCACATGCGTGCTGATGAGGGCAGGTCATTTCGTTTGGATTCCAGATTCTTGCTTCATTGGCGAATTCAACTTGGGGGTCCCTTCTGACACAAAGATTCTCACTAGTCTCAGTTGGGTGGCTATGACCAAGTACCATTGTGGCGAAGATTCTGTTGCCCAAGTTCTCCAGACAGTGCAGTTGGTTCTCGGCAAACTGTGCCAGCCGTCGGAGAAACCCCTTGAAGCGCAACTTCAGGCCGGGTCTATATTCAGATCCGCATATCAAGTTCAACAATTGGTTTGACAATTGTTGTGCAGCTGACATTGACATTATGGCATTCTCCATGTATGTTCAGAGCTCAACATAGCATTAGTGGAACAATGTGGCAATGTGAGCGGTGAACCCTGGTGTAGGTGGCTCAAACTACCTACCAGAAAATGCTCGAGCTCCTGAAGGTTCCTTCGGTCAAGGTCAAGCCAGAACTGCAAGATGATCAGGAGAGGTTGCTGCCAGCGACCCATTGTGTATTTTCCAATCAAGCAGACCAGACCTGATCAACTGATTGATTTTTTGGTAGTGTGTGTGTGTGCTGTGTGTGTGTGTGCGCAAAGTTTGTTGTTTGACATAATTCACATGACATCTTGACATTTTGTGACATCACAATTGCCTTTTAGGAGACGCTGACAGATGAATCACAAGCTCTAGCCCTAGCTGCACCTGTTGAACCAGCAAGCACGGTTGCACAAACAGCGGCAGAATTGCCCACAGCTCCCTCACAGCCCGACCATGCAGATGCAGATGCAGATGTCGAAGCACAGCCATTGCCTGCCCCCGCATCGGCAGATACACCAGCATGTGCAGACCCATTACCACTACCTCCACATGGTAGTACATCCGCTGAAGAAGCTGCAGATGCAAGTGGTTCTACACAGGGCATCACAGATACAACAGTCACAGAAGTGCCAGCAGCAACAGTAGAGACACACGCAGCAACACATGAACCTGGCACATCACCTGTTGCAGGTGACAACGCTTTGTGTCACGATGCGTTGCCAGCAGCTGCGGCTTCCAAAGAAGCAGATCTTGCAACTACAGAGCAAACCGTTCAGCCCCCTGAGCAACAAGGGGAAACCACTGCAATCAAGATGGAATCGCTGGAAGGACTACCTGCTGACATGCACAGCCATGCGGCCGAGGTAATTGACTCCAGCCAAGAGCAAGAAACCATGCCTGCATCTATGCCTCAGACTGCAGGTCAACCAGCTCCAGTTGAGCCAACAGAGCCAGGTGGGACTGGGACATGTTGTGATGTCTCATCCGATGAGGATTTGCCTTTGACATCAATCGCAGCATTCACAGCACCAAAGGCAGAGGCAGGCACAATTCTGCACAATGATGGCAACAATGAGAAGGATGGAGAGGCATGCATCAGTAGCACAGGCAGCAGTAGCACAGCCAGCATTGCAACAACTACCACCACCACCACTACCACCAGTAGCGTTACATCAACGGAAGCACCAGAAGGATCAGGTGCGGGCAGTGATCTGGGTGAAGTAGAGAAGCAGGCAGCAGCTGAATCACACAAAAATGATGAGCATGGCAATGGCAAGACTAGCAATACACCTGCATCACCTGCAGCACCCAGTTGCAAAGCAAAAGCAAGCGCGAAGAAGCCACCTGCTCCCACCCCGAAACGCACCGCAGCAAAGGCAAAAGTCACAGCCAAAGCAAAGTGCAAATCATCCCCTAAGGCAAAAGCAAAGACAGGCAAGCTTGCTGCAGAGGAGACGCACTGCAGAAGAGATGGCGGAAGACCTGTCTGCTGAAGTGCAGCTATCTGGAAGAGGCTTGCTCTTTGTTGTAGGGTTTGTGTGATTTTCCTGTATCTTTGAATTTTGAACCTAAGTCGAAAACGAAACACTCCTGGTCCTGGCCCCTGGCCTGACCACATTATATGTCACATAGAATGCCAGAATGTTTGCAACATAGGATGGGACCGGATGATGATAGGATGCTATGTCAGATCAAATGTCAGATAGATTGCCACATGTCCGAATATATGCTACAGAAAAGGCCAGAAAATATGCCAGAAAAAGTTCAAATGTCAGATAGAATGTCAGTTGGCGGGGATTATGGAACCAGTCAATGCCAAGCTGCCAAACTAGGCACACAATATATCTACACCAAATTGCATAACAAAAGCTAAGCTGGCAAAGTGTTTTTTGGTTCCCGGTAGACAAAAAAATATTTCCTTTATTTCAACTTGCAACAGCTTGCAAGCCGAAGGACGTGCGCGCGGACGTGGCGGAGGAGGCCGCGGCCGAGGCCGTGGACAAAATGTCACAACCGAGGACGGAGGACTGGTTCAGTTCACCACGCATTGTTTCTTTGGATTCTTTGGCTGCGGCCCACCATTTCAAGTAAAATTTGGCCATTGTAATTTCATTTTGGCCGTTGGCACCTGTGGCTACAATATCCCAACCTTTTCACGATTCAATTTTTGATTCAAAGTTTTTTGATTTCATCACGCCGGCGCAGGAAAATGAAAAGTTGACATGGATGCCGTTGCGACGCACTGCCAAGGGCAGCACACCCAAGCTTTTGAGGGACTTAGGCTTGGACACGACCAGGATGGGGAAGTAAAAAGAATCTAAGTAAAGATATGCGCTGTGAGACGTCTTGAGAATTAAGAAGCATCGATTTCATCTAGTTCCTTGGTGTTTTAGCCTAGAATTTGGAATACAAAAATATTCTTTTTTTGCATTGTTGCATCAGTCAGTGATCAATTGATCTCCATCCAGGAAGCACTGGCCAGTATAATGCAACACTATATTGGCACTAGTAGGTTTTGCTTCCTAACATGGAAGCTGGCTGACAAATTACTTTGATGCTGCAGCACTGCGACGTGTCGCCAAAGGCAGCACACCCAAGCATGAGGGATTTAGGCTTGGACACCGGTCGGATGGTGTAGGTCACTAGTATTCCATAGTGTTCCACTTGCAGTTTGAGGACCCATGAGCTTAACTTTGAAGAATTGGCAAGGTGCGTTTTGGGCACCCATGCACCCATCACCGGAGAACTGGCTAGCATGAATTATCTTGCTGGCAAAATCCAAAAAATGGACACAGTCGCTAGCAGCGCCGAAGATGTTGAAGAGCAACAAGGGAAAAACAGGCCACAAACAGGCCAACCGGAGTGTGGGTGCAGCTTGGAATGGATGCATGTTCCAGTTAGTAAGAGACCATCCCAACTCCAACTATATTATATATACACATATTTTTTATTTTCTTATTCACATGTTCACATATTTACATATTTACATATATCGTGACATGTACAGTGATGTTTTTCCTGTTTGCTGGTGTGGTGAATCCGAGCGTAGTTAGCGAGCGTTTTTTACACGCCGACGCTGTTCCTCTTCAACTGCCTAGCAACGCGGGTAGGGCCCACGCGCAAATGAACACAAGTAGGTAGATGTAAACTGCCGGTGTCCTTGAAAAGTAAATAAATATATGATATATGAATATATATATATATAACTATCTGTGTACACTTATATAACTCTTTAAATAAATAAATGCATAAATAAATAAGCAAATATATATATATATATAATCCCAATGAATGACCGTGTGGCTGCTTTAGCTTCAAGCCTAGTATGGGAGCTCGGTTGTGCTGTCGCCGTAGCGCCGAGAATCCTGAACCTGAAGTAGAAGATTTATCTGTTTCATCAACGCAAGACCCATCCTCTCGATCTGAATCCAGTGCTGATAGTGCGCGCCTTCATCCTGCT